AGACTTTGAACTGGTACTCCAATGGAAGTTTAGGACTGGGGCTTAACTCACGGGGCCACAGCACCTACCAAGTATCAGCATTTTAACAGTTCCATTTATCGGGCCTGGCACAATAGCATAATGGTTAAGGTCCTCGTCTTGAATGTGCCAGAATCCCATAGAGGCACCAGTTCTGGCCCCAGCAGCTCCACTTCCCATCCAGCTTTCTGCTTGTGGCCTGGGAAAGCAGTTGAGGACAGCCCAAAGCAATCAGACCCTGCACCTGCGTGGGAGACCTGGAAAGAAGTTCCTGGATCCTGGCTTCAGATCAGTGCAGCACCGGCCGTTGTGGCCTCACTTGGGGAGTGAATCATCGGACGGAAGATTTTCCTCTCTGTCTCTCCTCCTCTCTCTACATCTGTCTTTCCAATAAAATAAATAAATCTTAAAAAAAAGAGTCCCATTTATCTACAAACACATACAGCTATGATTATAACATAAATAGGATCATATCCCATGAATACCCACCAGGGTGTGGCTTCACTTAGTGTAAGGCCTCTATGTTGCTGCATTCTCCATAGCTTGTGATTTTTCAATGCTGATTTTTCAATGCAGTACTGGCATTATGAGTGGAACAGTTTATTCTATAGTGGTGCTTTTCTTTTCCAGTTAATGGAGATTATGAATGAAACCACTATAGACACTCAAGCACAAGTTTTTGCTAGAACCTAAATTATTATTAACCTAAAGTAATATACAAACATAATCACTCAGTAAGTGTAGATTCAAGAAACCAAACTATTTTTCAAAACACAGGTCCATTCTGAATTCCTATTTAAATGTTTAAGGGTCTGAGTCAGAGGCTAGCATTGTGGTGTATGAAGTAAAGCCACACACTGCCTGCAAGACTAGCACCCCCTATGTGTGCCAGCTGGAGCCTTGGCTGTCTCACTTCCAATCCAGCTCCCCGCTAATGTGCCTGGGATAGCAGCAGAAATGCCCAAGTCCTTGGGCCCCTGTACCCATGTGGAAGACCTAGGAGTAGCTCCTGGCTCCTGACTGCAGACCAGCCCAGCTTCAGCCTTTGTAGCCATTTACAAAGTGAACCAGAAGACAGAAGACTCTCTCTCTGTGTTTTTTGCCAATGATCCCCCTCTCCCCAATTCTACCTTTAAAGCAAAAAACAAATCTTATTTCTTGGAGATACAGACCAGTGCAGTGGTATATCAGGCTAATCCTCCACCTGAGGCACTAGCATTTCATCTGGATACCAGTATAGGTCCCAGCTGCTGCACTTCCTATTCAGCTCCCTGCTTGTAGCCTAGGTAATCAGTTGAGGATAACCCAAAGCCTTAGAATCTTGTATGCACATGGGAGACTCAGAAGAAGCTCCAGGCTCCTGGCTTCGGATTGGCTCAGCTCTGGCCGTTGCAGCCACTTGGGGAGTGAACCATCAGAGGGAGGATCTTTCTCTCTCTTTTTATCTCTGTAAATATGACTTTCCAATAAAAATAATAAATAAATCTTTTTTAAAAAAGAGAGAGCGAGATGGGCCCGGTGTGGTAAGCCTAGCAGCTAAAAGTCCTTGCCTTGAATGCACCAGGATCCCATATGGGCACCAGGTCTAATCCCAGAGGCCCAGTTTCCCATCCAGGTCCCTGATTGTGGCCTGGGAAAGTAGTCAAGGATGGCCGAAAGCCTTGGGATCCTGCATCCACATGGAGACCTAGAAGAGGTTCCTGGCTTTGGACAGGCTCAGCTCTGGTCGTTGTGGTCACTTGGGGAGTGAATTATCCTCACTGTATACATGGATTTCCAATAAAAATAAACAAATCTAACAACAACAACAAAAAGAACAAAAAAAAAGAGAGAGAGAGAAATAGTTTTTTTTTAAAAAAAGGGCATGTTATCAACATTTCAGCAATCCATGCCTCCTTCTAGTCAATAAGGGAGCTGAATGGGAGGTGGCGCAGCTGAGACACAAAGTGATGGCCGTACAGAATGGTGGTGCTTGCAGGTAGAGGACCAGCCTGTTGAGCCACCATGCTGGGCCCCCTGCCATCGACTCTCAATGGTGACCTATGATGGATAAAAGTTCTTAATTTCATTGTATCATCACTAGTATACCAGGTAAGGACAAAAAGGGAAACAGTGTTGAGAACCATGATTCTAACTACTGGAAGGGCAGAAGCTAGCTAAACTGTTCTACAGAGCAAGGTTTGTTCACAAGTCACAAACACACACTTCAAATGCCAAAGCCTGAAAGATCAAGGTAGGAATCCCCGAGTAGCAGGTGATCAGCAATTGGAGCAGGATGGGGAGAATGGGAAAGGCTCACGCACACAGGACATGTCTAAGGCACTGCGGATCGCAATGACAGCTGTCCTGACACAGCGAGATGCCAATACACGGCCGGGACCACCCGAGGAGCTTTTGTGGTGGCGGGGGAGGGGACACGCTGCAACCTACACAGAGAATCAGCCTCAGGTGCTTATATCTCCCTCCCAGGCTTTACATTTTTAAATCTAATTTCAAACCCAAATTGCATTGTTACCAGTTATTATCATTATTATCTATACTTCAGTTCTCAGTTTTTGGCCATTCCTGTGTATGACAGATTTTTATCTCTTACTACAAAAGAATGTAGCTCTGAGATTTGAACTGTTGGAAATATCTACCTCTTGAAAGAGACTTGGCAAAAGACCCAAACGATAAATCCTGCAGCTCAAATTCAAATCCCTCATCACCTGAACAAAGCTGCTGTGGCATCATGCCAAAAAGAAGGGGAGTAGCTAGTTATTAAGTTTTTAAAAAGAGGTAAGGAAGCCTAATTCTTTAAAAAAAATTTTATTTTATTTTTCTTAGAAAGTCAGATAAACGGAAAGGTGGAGAGACAGAGAGGAAGATCTTCCATCTATTGATTCACTCCCCAAGTGGCCACAACAGCCAGAGCTGCACCGACTCAAAGCCAGGAGCCCAGAGCCTCTTTCAAAGTTTCTCAAGTGTGTGCAGGATCCCAAGGTTCTGGGGCCATCCTCGACTGCTTTCCCAGGCCACAAGCAGGGAGCTGGTTGGGAAGTAGAACTGCCAGGACATAAACTGGTACACATATAGAAGCCCTATGGTTACAAGGTAAGGACTTAGCCACTAAGTTACCGTGCCAGCCCAGGGAAGTCTACTTCTAAGAATTATTTTATCAGGGGCCCAGTGTGATAGCCTAATGGCTAAAGTTCTCACCACACATGCACCAGGATCCCATGTGGGTGTCAATTCATGCCCCAGCTGTTTCACTTCCCATCCAGCTCCCTGCTTGTGGCCTGGGAAAGCAATCAAGGACGGGCCCAGAGCCTTGGGAACCTGCACCTGTGTGGGAGACCTGGTGGAAGAAGCTCCTAGCTGCTTTCACACTGACTCAGCTCTGGCCTTTGCAGCCATTTGGGGAGTGAACCAGCAGATTGAAGATCTTTCTGTCTCTCCTTCTCTGTAGATTTCACTGCTCTCCCCTCTTTCCCCAGGTACAGGAAGAAAAAAGGAGATTGTAAACATGCGTCTAAACAACTTCGCCCTGTTCCTCAACCCTCCCCACCCTAATTGGTAGTCCAAATGGGCATGCATCCTTCTTAACTGTATAAATATCATCAAAACTCAAATAAACTTATTATTTAAAAAAAGAGCAGGCACGGTGTACATGTAGGTCAAGCAGGTCACGTAGCCCCTTGTGATAGCCATATGCTATATTGGAGCAACAGCTGGACCACCAGTTACTCACCCACTACCCAACTTCCTGTTTACCCATCATGAGACGCAGCAGATGACAGATCAACTGTCTTGACCCCTGCCACCCACGTGGAAGCCCCAGACAGAGTCCAGAGCTACTGGCTTCAGCCTGGCCCAGCCCTAGTTACTGTAGCCATTTGGGGAGTGAACCAGTGGATGGATAATAACTCACTCACCCTCTGTTTTTCTGCCTTTCAAATAGATGCATATAAGTATATAAAAAAAGATGTGGTGGCTGGCACCATGGCATAGCCTGTTAAGCCTCTGCCTGCAGCATCGGCATCCCATATGAGGCTCAAGTTTAAGTCCAGGCTGCTTTACTTCCAATTCAAGCAGCAAAGGATGGCCAAGGATTGGGTCTCTGTACCCACATGGGAGAGCTGGAAGAAGCTCCTGGCTTCAAATGGGCCCAGCTCCAGCTATTGCAGCCACTTTGGAAATGAACCAACGATGGAAGATCTTTCTCTCTGTCTCTCCTTGTTTTTGTAAATATGCCTTTCCAATAAAAATAAATAAATAAATACACACACACACACACACGGGAAGAACAGGTCAAGGAGTGGGGTTCGAGTTTGCTGTGGCTCACAGAGGGGAGGGGAAGGACTAATACAATCAGCTTTCTCACTTGCCCTCCCTTAGGTGAACTCCAGAAGCTGTGGCAGATTCCTAGGATCTTTGCCTTCCTAGCGTTGTTTCCCACAGCTTGGTCCACTTTCTGGAAGAGGACCTACTGCCCCAATTCCCACCTTCACTTCAAAACAGTAATCTGTAATTCAAATTTCAGCACCACAGAGCACTAATTGCCTCTGGGAAAGAGAATAGGGTAGAAGGGCAGAAGATAAACCTTTGCATTTTCTTTCCTTTTTTTTTTCTTCTTTAATTATTTATTTAGTTTTGTTGGAAAGGCAGATTTATAGAGCAGAGACTGAGATAAGATCTTCCATCTGTTGGTTCACTACACAAATGACCACAGCAGCTGGAGCTAAGCCAATCTGAAGCCAGAAGCCAGGTGCTTCTTCCAGATCTCCCAAGTGGATACAGGGGACCAAGGCTGCTTTCCCAGGCCACAAGCAAGGAGCTGAATCAGACAGGACACAAACTGATATCCATATGAGATTAGGCTGCTGAGCCTCTGCACAAGTACCAAAACTTTGACTTCTCTATCATGAATTATCTACATAAGAAAAGTAATTTAAAAATAAGATAAATCTCAAAAACAGTCATTTTTCTGTGAATTCCTATACCTTATTGTCCATAATTGTCCACTGGCCCTCAGAGTTCTGCTTCAAAACACAATGGTTTCGAGAAATCATCAGAGGGCAGGTTTTTGACACCAGTTGGTACGTGACACCCAATCCTCGTCCTATAGTCACCTGGAAAGACAACAACGAAAAGATACAATCACATTAAGCTGCAAAGCTAAGTCCTCCACAAGCTATCAATCAGTAGAGTACATGGGTCCTGAATTAGGAAACTGGATTCCTAAGGAACCTAAGGGGTTCATCAGCCACAGAACCACCTCACACAGAAAGGAGAGAAGTTATAAGAAGAAACTGAAACCACAGGATCCCAGGACCGGCATGACCTGGTAAGGGCATCTGGTTCAATCACAGATTAAATAGAGGGATTATTTCCATACAACCCAATCAACTAACCTAAAATACAGCCAAGAACCACAGCATTCAGATGATTCCCCTGATTTCTCAATGGTTCTTTCTCCCCTACAAATTCCATCCATTAGCCCTGGCTCTGTCCTGGGGACTATCAGAAAATCCCCAACTCCCTTGTGCATCACAGTTATGAAATTATGTAAGTCTTCTCTCTTGATGCTTCAGGTTCCAAGTTACTTTAACCAATCTCCCAGTGCATATGTGAGTCTTTCTGTCATTTTAATTGATCTGTGAAAGGACTCATATATACATATATATATATTCCTGGATTCCACATTAAGAAGCTTAATTTGTATTACTTAGCATCACTTACCCAGTTCTTGATCTTATCACTATTATCACTATAGCATATAAATGGCATTAGCTTTCAAAGCACATCCAGTGCACTGGCAGGGGAGCCTCCAACTCAGAATGATTAGATGTCTCCCTTCCCCAAGAACTGTTACACTAAGTCATGTCTCGCCCAGTCTGTACTTGAGTGGTTGGAAAAATTTGGATTCAAGTGCAGGACCTTATATTGATTCCTATTAAACTTCATCTTGTTAGTTCAGCCTATCACACCAGCTTGTCAAGACTTTCCTGATTTTTAATCTGCCATCAGATCAGACATACTCAACATTCCTTGCAGCTTTCGGCTATTCACAAAATTGATATGCTTTCTGTACCTTCATTCAAGACAGACAAATACATTGACATGGGATGCAGCCAGACAAAGCTCTCAGGAAAGCTTCTACTGCACAGTATGGGTATAGCTTCAAGCAGCCATAATTCAATCCCAGCTTTTGTACTAAGTCCACGATCTTTGTCTTACTCACAGGGACAAGGCTGAAAAGAATCCTGGTTCCCAAATGTCATACTTTCTTGATGGACCTGTCTGGTTTACTGAGCGCTTCTGCCATTGGAGCTTAGAATCCCATGCTTATCATTCTCAGGACACAAACCACCTCTTCGACGATCTAACCTAAGTGGGGAATGTTAACCCAAGATCTGGTTGGCACAACAGCCTAGTGGCTAAATGCTTGCCTTGCATAGGCCAGGATCCCATATAGGAACTGGTTTGTGTCTCAGCTGCTCCTCTTCCCATCTAGCTCCCTGCCCGTGACATGGGAAAATAGTGGAGGATGGCCCACAGCCTTGGGACCCTGCACCCATGTGGGAGACCCAAAAGAAACTCCTGGCTTCAGATCAGCTTAGCAGCCCCTAGAGGGGCTGCGGCCACTTGGGGAGTGAACAGCAGTTCACAATGGACAAAAGTTCTCAATGTCTCTCTTCTCTATAAATCTGCCTTTTCAATAAAAATAAATTTATTGTAAACACACACACACACACACACACACAAAACCCAAGACTTGTGGTTTTCTAAAAACTTCTCTCTTCACCTATTTTGAAAATCTTCAGATTCATCCTGTCTTCCACTGTCTTCCACTGTCCCTCAAACACTACTATAACTCTTGGCCTTCATGTATTCACTCTCCACAATCATCTAGGCATCTCAGTGTATAGACGCTGTTGTCTATACATGGGCTCAATCCCAAACGTAGAAGCCATTTTTTTCTCTTTATTTTTGATAATCTTTACATAGTTGATAGGAAACAAAAGGTGAAGAGCTACAGGAAAATGGGTAATACTGTTGTTTCCACATCACTGCTTCCCCCCCCCCCCATATCTGGAGTAAAGGGGGAGATAAAGGGAGAAGCCTCACCCAGCCCGCCCCCCCCCCCCCAATTCCAGGTCCCTGGTGCAGGGCATGCTCCAAGGGTCATGCTCAAGTGGTTTGGATAATTCAACAGCTAAGATTTGCTGCCAACCTCACCATTCCAAGCATGATGAAATCACTGCAGAATCCATTGGGTGACATACTCCACCTTAGAGTCTCCATTTGCCCAGATTTTCACTGCCGACACATGGCTGGAGTAGTAGATTGATTTGCTCTGTCCTTCATCCTCTGTTGTGATACCAGGTGTCCTCTGCAGGTTCTGATGGACTGCTATCTCCTCTGTGTGCACCTGGGTATGCTGTCCACTGCTCCATCTGAGCCTCTGAGGAAACAGCTTTGACACTTGCACTCCATGGCAGACCCTAGAACCTGCACTTCTCTTCATGATTAGAGTTCTGAGTCCAGCAGTTTGATTGGGGAGATCCCCAAAGAAACTTTGTCTGAGGTGATCCCAGACCAGATTCTTGTGTGTACTTGCGAGTACAGGGCCTGGCACAGTCTGCCATCCCAGTCAGCTGGTGGCTGCAATTGCTGGGTCAGTTCTGTTTCCAGACCTGTCTTCCACACGAACCAATGGGTGTGGCAGTACAGCCTGATTCTGCCGAGCACACACGTGGGAAGCTATCTTTGATGGACCAGTCCCTTATCCCTGGGTGTTAAAGGTGGTGATTAATTTAAAAAGTGTCCTTAATCTATTCATTTCCATCTCTATGACCCCTACTGAGTCTTCACACACCAGCTTAAGTGGTAATAGAAAAACCATTCCAATCATTTCTTTTTTTCTGATAAACTTTCCAACCTACCAAATTTGCTTCCAGGGCATTTAAGGTAACAAATGGCCTGACCCCCTCATTCCTTTCATATTATCTCATACATGGAACCAACACTAGCTGTTTTAGTCACTTGAGCCTTCTCTTTATTTTTTCACTGAACTGGGACCCTTCTTACTTGCCTGCTCTGCCCAGCACACACAGTTCTCAGATCTTCGCATGAGCACCTTCTTATCTTTCAAGAGTGAGCTTCTCAGAAGTTTTCATTGATTACCCTGTTTTTTTTTTTTCTTTTAAGATTTATTTATTTTTATTGTAAAGGAAGTTATACACAGAGGAGGAGAGAGAGGAAGATCTTCTGTCTGCTGAACCGCAATGGCCAGAGCTAAGCTGATCAGGAGCCAGGAGCTTCTTCTGGGTCTCCCATGCAGGTGCAGGGTCCCAAACTTTTGGTCCGTCCTTGACTGCTTTCCCAGGCCACAGGCAGGGAGCTGGATGGGAAATGGGGCAGCAGGGATTAGAACCAGTGCCCATAAGGGACCCCGGCACATTCAAGGCGAGGACTTTAACCACCAAGGCTTTGGGCCATCCTCGACTGCTTTCCCAGGCCACAAGCAGGCAGTGGATAGGAAGTGAGGCAGGACACCACCAGTGCCCATATGGGATCTCGGCCCATGCAAGGTGAGGGTTTTAGTCGCTAGGCTACTGCGCCAGGCCCTGATTATGCTATTGCAACACTGCTATTTGCTTCTCCCATCTCATTTCTTCATATTACTGGCATGCAAGACTCAAAGTTACCTTACCTTACTTTTATTCACCTTCCCCTTTACTAAAACAGAAATAAATGCTTTGTTTTATTTATCATGTATCTCTGCACCTAAAATGGTGCTCCACAAATATCTGTGAATAAACAGAAGACATCTTATCTATGGATTCTCCTGAACTCTAGGATTAGAGTTTTTGTTTTAAGATTTATTTTTATGGGCCTGGCACATTAGCCTAATGGCTAAAGTCCTCACCTTGCACATGATGGGATCCCATATGGGTGCCAGTTCTAATTCTAGCTTCTCAGAAGTCTTCGCATCCAGTTCCTTGCTTGTGGCCTGGGAAAGCAACCGAGGATGGCCCAAAGCCTTGGGGTCCTGCACACACCTGGGAGACCTGGAGGAAGCTCCTGGCTCCTGGCTTCGGTTTGGCTCAGCTCCAGCCATTGCGGCCACATTGCAGCAGACGGAAGATCTTCCTCTATCTCCTCCTCTCTGCATATCTGATATTCTAATAAACAAATAAATCTGTAAAGATTTATTTTTATTTGAGAGGCAGATTTTATAGATAAAAAAGGAGACATAAGTAGAGAGGTCTTCTAGTCACTGGTTCACATGGACACGGTCACAATGGCTGAAGCTAGGCCAATCCAAAGTCAGGAGCCAGGAGCTTCTTTCCAGGTCTCCCAAGTGGGTGCAGGGGCCCAAGGAGTTGGGCCATCCTCCACTGCTTTTCCAGGTCATCATAAGCAAGGTGTTGGATGAAAGCAGAGCTAGCAGCATACACCAATGTACACAAGCTGGGACAGGTGTTAGGCTGGGGTAGACTACAGCTGATCTCAAGTAGCATGCAGCAACCATTAGCAAACATGAGATCCAGGTTGGGGACAGACCGGAATGGTCTCCTTGGCTAGGCCACAGCATCTGTCAGTACAAAAAAGTGCTGCACCTGGGCACCTGGGCACAGGCGTAGTTGGGGTCCTTGAGGGTCTCCTCAACCAGACTGCAGCACCCATGAAACTGGTTCTGTGGGTGGGCCAGGACTGAGCTGGGGTGCAGTGCCACCTGGTGCATACGAGATCAGGATCGGGGGACCAACTCAGTAGGGGCTCTTAGCAGTCAGCCCAATGTGTCCATTCCATCCGATCCCCAACCTGAGGGACATCTGATCTGGTCCCAGGGCACATGTTGTGGGCCACCCCCACTGCTGATTCTGTCAGGAAAGACAACGCACTATGACATATGCAAGACAGGACACACAGAAGAACTTGAGTGCCTTACCAAAAAATGGGAAGAAGGGCAGGTTGAATAAAGCTACAGGTCAAATTCTCCACCAAGCATCTAAGGCTATGCACACAGCAAAACAGTCAGAAAGCATGGCAAGTGGCAACAAAGCTAACATCATCTCACAGCAACCAAGACTACTCAAGTAACTTCCTCAGGACATTCTTC